AAAAATAATAAGAAACACAAAGCTTGAAATAAAATTACTTATTTATCAAAGAAAAGTTGTTGTGAGAATATATATACATATTACATACATTTATGGAAATATTATAAAATAATAAATAATAATAGAAATTTTAAACCGGCAGTCTATGTGGACATGGGCTGACCACTTTGAACACCTAGGTGGGCAAAGTGAACAATTTTGTACTTTTTAACAAACTGACAATAACTATTTATTTATTTGTTTAAAATTGTTTCTGATTGGAAATTATGATTCCTGACAAGTTCAACTAGACAATCTTGAAGGTTTCATAAAAAAAAAATTAAATCCTAAAGTGTGACATTGTGTTGAACCTTAGGGTGGCCGCTTTGGACACCTTTCCCCTAGGTACCTAATCCGGTCGGCAAAGTAATTTTTTCTTCATATTCCGGATATTTTCCATCTCCTATTTTTAAGAGTAACTCTGAAAGCTGCTAACAGTCATGTCTCCTTTTAAATGTACTCGCCTATTTATTATGGTCAAAGTAACTTTTTCTATTAGAGGCCACAAATATGAAGACTTGATGGAGGCTACTATTCATTAGCTCGAGTTCCTCTTTGTACGACAGGTAGAGTTTGTCGAAAATCTCCAGCAGTGCCGTACTCATCCCATCAATAAATTTGAATTTTTCAGATCCTTCAGACAGTTGTTTAAAGCTTTAAATCCTTTCTTATGAGATATTGTACTTTAATCCCAAACTATAAGCTTGCATTTTTTTCAAAACTTGACAAATTTGATTGTTTATTAATATTACGCGTTAGAGTCTCGATGGTGTTTAAATTGAGTGGCAACTTGAAAGCAGAACAAGCAGTTTTTCCTCCATGTAAAAACGTAACAGCAATTTCTGATGATGCAGCTGCAATTGCAATCCCATATGAGCTTCTTACTTTAGCCAAAAGTAGATTGATTAAGTGGGTTTAGCCGGTTACACCAGGAGCATCCAAAAATATACATTTGCCTAAACTTAATTTGATGCTATTTAATATTTGTTTGTGAATAAACCACTGTTCCTCAGTCAATGAGTGTTAATTTTGCTTAACAATCTCGTGGAAAGCAATTTAATCATAGCTTGTTCCTTTTGTTCTCTATTTTCTAACAGTCCACAAGATCTTGTAGGAGTTGGAGAAACCATATTCTTTTAAGCTCATTCCACCTAGACTCAAAACAAAATTTTCAATTCATACAAAACATTTGTTATAAAGTTCATCGTCTGTTATATTATTTTCCATGTAATGTCTTTGGTATTGACGCCGAATATCGTCTAAAAAATCGTCCTTATACTTATTCCAAAGCCTTAAAGCATCCGATGAATTGCAAATTTAATTAATATTACGCCAAATAGTTCTCTCATTTTATTAGATGAACGTCATACCACTGCTTCTTCTAAAGCTAAATTCCACTTATTATCATCTTATAATAATTCAAAGGCTTTACATGATGCTTGAAATGTCGGATATTCGTTGTTCACAGTTTTAAAAAATGAATACGATGTTTGGATTTTTACGTGATGAAGAAGAAGACGAAGATGGTAACATTCAACATTCTTTGGGTGTATTGTATAAACTCTACCCAAAGCTGTATCTTTCTTAACTCCTGACCAACCTGCGACATTCTGGCCATATTTACGTCTAATAACTTTCTCATTTATCCACACATAATTAGAAGCAACTTTTGGATAACATGTGTTAATTCAAGGGTTTTCTTCAAACAGCTATAAAGAAAATTTGAAGCGTCATTATAGGAAAAATGTTTTGAGCGTTTGAGTTTTAAATTTTTATGAAATCGTGTAATGATAACGATTTATCCTCAAATCAGGTATATTTATATCTATGATAATATAAGATATTATGAATTATGATAACTACATGCAATGTTTTTGGAAAAATTGATATACCATRCCTTATGCAAAATGCGTCCTAATTGAAAAATAAAATATTATTTTCAAAATAGAATATATCACAATATTTAAATATAATATGTCCTAGACTGACAAATCATCTCCGTTCAGAATCGTTTTTCGTATACAATGATACCTATCATTGCATTCAAATCCAACATAACCTAGTCAGAGGTTCACCCCACCACCTAATGTACAGCAGAGTGACATCTACTTACCTACTTTTTTTTTTTTAATTCAATCTGAATTCATAGTAACTGATGTTTAATTTTCTGGAAAATGTCACTAATTTGGAAGTTAAAACTAATTAGTGATTTAACAATTTGCCAACGTTATCCTAACGTTAGAAAATTATCTTTCTTTTATCAAACAGAATAAAATATCATGAATAGAAAAAGTTGAAAATACTAAAACATATGTAATATTATAAAACCAATTACATATGGCTTGCTTTGATCACATTCTTTTATATCATTTAAAAATGTATAGTAAAAATAACCATCGAAATGCCAACAGTTATATTGCATTGTTTAGTAACTATCGATAAAAATCGGCACTTAYTCAAAACCACTATAACTAGTATTAATATTTATTTATAATTTATACTTTATTTTGGTACAAATATGTATTAATTCTGCGAATCACTATTAAAATTAATTACAACCTTAAAATTAATTTGATGTTTGATATCGAAAATGTACTTTATTAATTAATAACGTTTTTTAATACTCTTAAATGTTTTTAGTTAATAACAATTCAATATGATATAGGTAGATACATAATGTCTATTGTCTATCAATTAAAATTAAAATTATGTTGTTGGATATCTAATGAAAAATTGAATTCAATAAATTCTTCAAACAAAATAAACAATCCCACTGTCTGAGTTTATAGGTGTGTGGCTTGTCGTATACATTAAGTTTCGTTAGAAAATTTTTTTCTCACAATAATCATATTATAATATTATGGCATAAACAAAACCAAAGCATAAACAATAAACGTACCATATCATCGTACTTAATTACCTTTTGAATAACAATTTATAAACAATTTTCTTCGATTTGTTTGKTTAGGCTACTTGATATTTTTATAATGATTTACTTGTAATATGACGTTTATAGAACGTAATTATTTGATACTTAGAAATTAAAATAAATATTTGTTTTTACTTTTATAGATGGACCKGATGAAAATCAGCGTCGTATTTTACATCTCAATCGCATTAGTACTCAATAAGTATTCGGATTGTACCACTCATCCTAGAGTCAAAATGTATGGTCCTAAAGTAACAGTCATAGATCGTCGGAAACCTGATTCGAAAATTGGACAAGATATAATTAATGAGGTAAAAATCATTTCCCAGCCAGAAGATTTTTTGGATGAACCTAGCTGCCATGAATTGCGRCTAATGTGGCGCACCTACCAGAGGCAAAATCAATTGACACCGTCAAGCAGCAATTTACCGCTGACTTTCGATCCGTTTGCATTTAATACATGGGAAGATTACATTAAGCCGAGATATATAAACAGACAGAAATCAATGATGTTTGAACGAGCCATACCAGAAAGGTAATATATTACATATGTAATTAATAATATCATTAATATAAATAATATTATAATATTATCCAAACGATATCCAGAAATGTATATTTTTTTAAATATCAAATTATTTTTAAAACTTATTACGGGAGTGTAGAAATGTTTTTAACATAATATAGTTAAGAACTAACATTTTACTATGATTAGTAGTTGATATTAGTATAAGGTATCAATAATATCTCAATGGCTTATCTCATCAAAATCTTGATGTGACATACTTAAGATTTATAATAAAAGAAATAAGAATCATCWTTTTAAATTTTAAACTTTATCATCTCATATTAAATTCTTTCAGGAAATAAATGTTATTTTATGAAGCTTATCTACTTATTGTTTTTAAAATACAAAATATGTAATATGTATTAATATTTAAATATTAAATATTAAATATTATACGCATTTTTTTATTTATTCCTATAAAGCTATATACTTGTGCATTCATAAAGAACTTGAGTTTGCTTAATGCAGTTTATATTTCTGAATTCAGAACTCCGTTTTTATGTATATCATACTTATTTCATGAATTTTTAGTTTAGGTTCGATTCATAGTCTCTGCTCATAAATATTATTTAAATTATTTATATTTAATATATATTATTATGAATTTCTAGGTTTCATATATTTAGGCGACTTAGACCATTTGAAAAAATCGCTAGACTGACCACTACAACGAGGGCCATCATGGACGATCAATTGACAAGAAAAGCAAATTTATTTCGTCTGGGTTATCAACCCTTAACAAAAATACCTATAATCGCCATGCGCCTGACAGCCAAAGATAGATTTCAAGAGTTAAAAGAACTGATGCGTCACCAGAAGATAAACAATTATCAAACGGGAGACGGCGATGATGATCCGTTTTCCGTCGTACCGATCACCGCGGCGGCGGTCACTTCTAACGGCACTGCGGGTAAAAAACGACCAGGCTACGAGTCGTTGATGTCACGACCCAGACACTTTTCACAAGGGCACTATATGAACGTGAGACCGAACGGTGAACAGATCGACGATACTGCGACAGCTACACCTCAGGCAATTATAATTTTGTATTATAAAAATATATTTTATAACAGCGGTAGCTAAAACATAAAACTATAAGTGCTGTACCCTGCATTGCACTTATATCAAAATATTAGACCACAAAGTTACCAGAATTTTAAGGCGTGGTTCAATACGCTGTAGGCACATGTTTGCAAACCGTTTTTGTGATCAACTGCTTCAATCTCATTATGATAATTGAGAAAATATTGTTTATTCTCAAAAGATTTTTTCTCATTTTGAAATATTTTTTTATATTTATTTATAAAAATAAGTATATTTACATTTTTTATTAAATTTATTCATTAGGTAATATGGTGGTTAGATTACAAGATTGGACGGCTTGTTTGAAGGGGGTTTCCAACTGACACTACTTCACAATTCTAGACAAACTTATTTTTTAAAGGTTGTGTTTGGTCCCTATGCCAATTTCACTTAAGACGAAGCAGTGCGTTGATTAAAATATTTATAGACATTTTAAATTTATTTTTAGGGAGAAACAATAAAATTAAAATTAAAAGGTGGGAAAGTACCWAYGTACCATTCTGCTGGTACACCGAGTGTTGTGTGGGTCACTATAATCGATAAGCTAGATTTTAATTCAGTGAAATAATATTAGAGTATCTTTATGAAAAACGATTCTGAGTGAAAATGTTCTGGCAATCGATGTTTCTATGGGTATATTTTATGTTATTTTTACTACCTATTAAAGTAATTAAATTTACTGTTATTGAATAATACAGAAGGTTAAATTAATTTTTGTCGAAAACATCGCATTTAAGAAATTCATTTTGTAATTAAAATATTATAATATAGGCACTCTTAAAGTCTCAAGTATCCACGAATACAATTTTTAAATTATCTAAAGTCGTATTCATTTAAATATTTAATCTCATCAAAATTTGAACATATAATAACATATAATAATAATAATATCTATAAAAATAAATAAATATTGTTCATAATATATTTTATTAGATATTTTGCTTGCGATATGAACTATTAATGAGAGACTTATTTTGAATACTTAATCCTTAGCTACAAAAAATGAACATTTTATAAATTTCCAACTACAAAAGTACAAAATAGTTGGCAAATGTTCGTGGTTTTTATGAATTTTCTATAMAATTTAAACTTTCAATGCTTATTTCAAAAAATGATATGAATAAGTAACATAGTACTATTGTTATATTTTAAGTTTTAACTGCTTTTCTAACAAATTTTATGATCCTTGAATTAAATTATCAAGCATTTTAGCTATATTAAAATGATTTTGAAGTTTTTCAATATTCAAATTTTAGTTATAAAAAAAATAATTTTTTTAAATAGATATCCAAATCAAATAGTYTTGAAATTTGTATTATTTTTACGTGTTTTGTAAAAATTCTAACTTAAAAGAAAGTAATAATGTACTGCTAACTTTTTTTATTGTACTAATAGAAACTTATGAGAAACCTTTTATTACATTTTTAAGCATTTTGCTATCGATAATAATTTAAAAGAACCTAAACGAAATTGATGATTTCTCATCTCAATATAAATAACTAAAAAGTAGTCAGAACCTTTTTTAAATTTTGATTGTTCATGATTTAGTCATACCAAAAAAATCAAATTAGTCAAAAACTAGTTATCATAATAATTACYGTGTTTTTTGTTTCTGTTTATGACTTTTAAATTTACTACGAAATACTTTACTTTAACCTCTCCTAAGTTCCAACTATATTCACTTTTCTACCAGCTAAAATGCTGAAGTAGAAAATCAGAGTATTTTTAATACGTACCTACATCAAAATGTGAAGACAGTTTAAAAAAAAAACACTTATCATTGTAAAATCAATCATACATTCATCGCTATGCTCGGAACCTAAAAATCGAGAATCACTGTATTTCATCATATATTTCCGCATGAGAGACCACCAACGAAACATCAGTCTTGCCGTTTAGAACCGTTCAAAKACATGTGGAATGTCAATTGATTATTGTTAGGTATAAAATGTCAAATAGWGAACAAATTTTAAAGGTTTAAARCGAAATTTAACTCACAAGATTTTTCTATAGATTTTACTAAGTCAATGAAGTTTATTTTAGACAAAAAAAATAATTTCACTTCATGAAAATAAATATTAAATTAACTTGACTAAGTATAAGTTTACTTTATTTAAAAATTTGATTCTATAGCAGATACCTAATAAAGTTGTACATTTCAGTATTCACGTATCAATCGTACATAAATAGTTTTGCAATATAAATAAATCACTAATGCCAGGTTGCATAAAACTTTACGGAACCGATAGTCGGCTATAAAATTGAAAACAGTTACGTAAATATGATAGCTGTTATCAAAAACATGCATAGTTATTGAATCGATAAGTTGGAGATCCGATTTCGGTTCTGTATAATTTGCAGAACTCTTTACCTTATCATTTAGGTAATTATATTTTTTTTATCACGAAAAAACGTGACATTTTCTTGATAAGTTGAATATTGTAATTTGTACTGTTATATCTAATTTGTTTTATTCAATATTCAGTATTCTGTGCATTATTTAGGTACATTATTATTTACTGAATATTACTGTAATAAATTAAACTTTTATTTTTGTTAATACAATGTCATTAACATCAGCCTCATCTTCATCAGATGAGTCTGATGATAATAATATGTTGTTTGACATATTGATTAATCTTCCAACGCCGAAGCGATTTCGGGTTCGGTCAAATCCTCTCGAAGATTATGATGATTTTGACTTTAAAATTCGCTTTAGGTAAATRCCTATGTCTCTTCTTCTTCTTTGCCTTTATTCCCCGCAAGTACCTACAATATACTTTTGTCCTTTCGGGTTTTTCTTTTTTGAAAATCATRCAATGATTTTAACTGTCGAATGCTTCTGATACCAGACTCTTTTGCTGGCTGTTGTATGTATGACTGATTTCAATCCAAGTAGCATCTTTACATTTATTAGTTATACTATCAGTCTAAATTATTGGACAAATATTTATTTCAATATAAATTATGATTAAAATTTTCACAAGATTCACTATTGCAACACAAAAAGAAGAATAGGTAGCTAGTTCATGAACAATTAACACATTCATGTTACCAAATAATATTTTTATTTAATTGACTTACCTTAATATTTTCAATAATTTTTTTCTGCGGTGAAACTAAATCAATTAAAAGGCATTTTTCAGCCTCGGTGAAATTTCTACCTCTTTTTTCATTTGCCATTTTGATATAGAAAAACAAATTTAAAAAATAGAACGGGAAATGACAGAACACTCAACGACTCAACACACAAAACTTCATATTGAATTATCATTTATCACATTATCATTTATAAAAAAAAAACATCTATACTGATAACTGAGCAAGTGGTTGTAACCATAGATAATAAATACAAATAATAAAACAATTTTATGCAACGCAAACTGTTCAGTAAACATGATTTTACAGAACAGATAGATTATGGAACCATTGGAACCAATAGTTTACAGAACAGATTTAATGCAACCCGGCATAAGTATTTCTAGTTTCCGTTTCTCAAATTACTTTTGGATTTTAAGAGTTAAAATTGTGCCCATCGTAAAATGTTGTCACAAAACTATGAATATTTAGCTAACCTGACATAACATACAATACTTGCATATTATAAAAATAAAAAAGATAAATTCCAAATTCCAAATTCTAATTAATGGAATTTTAAATTGTTTTCAYAAAATTCTACTCTTTGGCTGCCCTTTTCGTATTTTTTTTTTTAACAATGATAAATTTGTAATCATATCTTTGTTTCTATTGTTTTACTTAATAAATTGTCTCAATTTCAATGAACAAAAATTTAAATTAGTATCGAATACATTTATAGTAAACAGATGTAGAAATTATCTTCTAAAGTCGATTGTTTAATTTTGTTTAATTAAATGAAAATTGATTATTTATTAGTCATTACATTTATTAAAAAAAAAATAAAATACTATGCTAAATCGGAATGTAACTTTATTTAACATTGAAGTTTAATTTATTGTTCATTTGGCTATTTATAAGCACCATACAAGTTACTATTCTTAAAATTTATTTGTTAAGTAATTTATCAGTGGCCGGCATATTGAAGGAGGGGGATAAGAAAATCTCATCTCTATAGACATTTGATTAATATGATCACAATAATAACAGTAATATTAAAATAAGTATTTATTGTAGTGATAAATTGGCTGATATAATAACATACAGGTAATAATTTATAATTTATACAAGTTCCTTGCAAACTATTTGTTATTTTTGACTCTATCCCATTGCGCCTGTAAAGGAAAACACGTCCAATTCACACCATAGTGTCAAACAATAAACATAATCTAAAGGATGAATATTAAGTTGAATAAATCTTAGTAACATTGTAGAAATTATAGTGTTTAGTTTGATTAATTACGTTTTCGAGTTTTTAGACTTCTTATTCAACCTATATTTCTAAAATGTTATGTGAACAATAAATTGTATAATAAGCTCCATTAATTAATTGTTAATCGTATAATAACAGTTTGTTTCATGTTTACAGTATAAATCTTCGCCGCTTATCAAACCATGGAATTCTAGATGGTAAATGTCATAATGACAATATTGCGTCCACAGTAAAGCCCGAAATATATATAGGTACACAATATTATGTTCACATATATTCAAAGCAAATCCTACGTCCATTCACAGAAACTTACCATTTGTCTTCCTTCCAGCGATGAATTATCCGATCTGTTGCGCTTATTCTTRTGTATAAATAAAACAAGGTTAAGGTAAGTATAGACACTAATTATTATTTATCTTACATTGATTACATTTTAAGTCACACTTTTTTTTGTAAATTATTAATAATTTTGAATGCCTGTTAAAGTTCGTTTTTATAATATCCGTATTATTAATCTATACATTACTAAACTGATGCAAAATAATTAAAGTTAAATTGTGGTTAAAAACGTAGGTTATATAAAATATAGAACACCCTAAAATATAAAAAAAAATTGTAAAGTTAAGATAATAGTTTATACTTGCACACAACTATGACCAATATTTAATTTTAAAATACAAAAGCTTATAACTCAYTTAGTTTTTATTTTATCTAACGTTGATTATTATTTTTAAAACTTATTACCTATAAACAATTCTAAGGTCTTTCATGAAATATTCGGTTAGACGTTTAATTTTTAATTAAATTTCAAAACAAAGATGTGTTTAGTGTTGAATTTTGATGGGCCAAGTTAGATATTTACAAATAGAATGTACAAGTAAAAAAGTAATAGATAGTAGGTTCTTTGAGACGGTTCTACATTTTGTCTTTTGTCGATTTTAACTGTCATAAAATGTATAGTTAAAATGAGTTGTTTAGTACTTTTGCTATGTGTTTCATTATTAATAAATAAGAATGTGTATAATTCGTTTGAAAAATGAAGTCTGAATAAATATGAATGGACAGGTACTTAGTATAAAATTAATTAAGATTTATAAATTCCAACAAATTTAAGAAATTATACAATTACTAGTTTAAAAGCAATATTTGAAGATTATACAGGCAAAACAGATTTTCCATATATTTCCATATACGCTCAAAAGTTTTGAAGTTTAAATAAGTTAAACAAATTTAAATGTTTTTATTAAGATAATATTGCACTATACATGATTAAATTCGTATTATGTTAATTTTTGTTTTTAATATTCCTTTAAATCTGTATAGGAATCTACATAAAATATYTAAAAATAGGTGATAACAAATTATATTATTAATAAATACTACTTGCTCTCAATATTTAAATAGTTTCATCCTTCAAGTTACAAATGAGTGTATTGAATGCTTGTGTTTCATGAAGAACGACGAATATATTAATTTGTATCAGATAATTTGGTTTTCATTTTATTTTTTGTTTCTAATTGCATATTAGTCCACACTAATCTGGTATTGGGTAGTTAAAATAAAAATAAATATTATTTCATCAAACCTAAATAATATCATGAAAAGCATAACTTGCATAACCACTATTCACGAATCTCGTAAACTCAAGTAAAAATTCAAATAATATRAATTAGTGGATACAGTATACTTTACACGRCATATTAGCGYAAAACGTGAATGCATAATAGTATAATATTTAAACTGTACCTATACGTAACTACCTCAAAATTGTATTCCCAAATGTTCCGAGTTCACTGCGCAGTAGATATGTACTCTACAACAATACAGACGCATACACATCGCAAAAAACGACAAACGGATGGATTAGTAGTAGTTTTGAACAACATAATATTAAAGTATCGTAAAAATGGCTCTGAAATACTCGCATTTTCTGGCAGGACTGTTTACAATATGGTCTGCGATAAATACGAATGATCGCATGACACGATGGAATATTTCAACATCACTGCATTTTATTATGATCAGGGTTCACTGTTCTAATAGCTCCATAGCGGCAAAAGTCCAAATATAAAAGTTAAAATACCTACCTACCAGTTTAAATAGTCTTCAAAAATTTAATAACACTATTATATYCACAGAACGAGAAATAAGCGCGATTTTTTACTAAGACTAATATGGGTAGGTATCAAGGTTATTTTTAAGTAATGATTATTAAAAATTTCACAATTAATAAAAATAAAAATGATACATAATACTTAAAAATCATTGTCATTTACAGCCCTTAATCAAAAAATTGTTTCGTGATTTAGATATAAATTTCCAAGAAACTGGTCATGTTTAGGTAATATAATATTTTAACAAATTTTCATTCAAAATGYTTTGAATAAAATATATTTAGATCTGAATAAATTATCTAATTTTTTTAATAAGTCAATAAAAGTTCAATTATTTTGTATAATATTTCATTCTAACAAACTACACATATTGTAATATATTATGACAGAAAATCTTTAACATGTAATAAAATCTTTTAAATACGTTTTATGCGATTACCTTCAAAATATACAAAATAAAATGTCTTTTACATATTTTCTCTATCTCTTGGAGCTTTGTACCAGATTTATTCGATTAAATGAATGTGTTCAGTTGTTGATAGAGAAACACTGGAGTATAAAATTCAAAAAAGTTTTTAGGTGCTCATAACCGTCATTATTCGAGTTGATTTAGTATAATACGGATATTCTGTTAATAATGTATTCAAAAACTATTTACCGAATTAACTATAGGATGATTCTTACATCTTAGAATATTTTCATCATATAACTATTACTAAGACAATGTTTACTTAAACATGTTCATTCTAATTCATATATTTRGCTTAATAAAAAACCGTTTCCTTTAAAAACATTTAAAACAACATTGTATGCCTGTTCACGATATTGTTATTAAAAAAAACTAAAAAGTCAAATCGCGAAGAGTATATTAAATTAATTTTAATAGTGAAGAATTAATCTATTTTCGGTTTATTTGAGTGTTTTGGAAAATTTTTTATTTGAATTTTGGGAATTTGGGAATTTTTTGACGGGTTTTAAAGGTGTTACGAGACAAGTAAATTCAGATGCAAAGCACTGCTTGAAAGTGAACTTGTAAGACGAAGTGGTAGTGTTATCATACTTAGTTTATCTCTATGATTTAGTTCTTATGCATCAAATATGAATATTATGGAATTACCACAAACCCGATTTATAACATACATATATTACTACATCAAATCAAAAGTCRACATTTTTTGTTGAACATGCTTTTTCTGAATTCTTTCTACGCAAAATAATATTCCAATTTTGCTTTCGTCAAAATTTATTTTAATGAAAATATCATATTGTCAGGTTTCTGTTACTTATAAACTCAACATCGACACTTGTATAAAAAAAAATGTATAGGTAGTTACAGTTCCGATAAGTTGACACTCTTGTTCTCCTGTTGTTCTGTATAAATAAAGATAAAAGGCAACGAAATAAACAACAATCCATTTTGATATATCTTCTGTTAAATAAATTATGGTTGTGTTATTAAACAATATTTTACTAATATTTATGTTAAAATAATTTACAWCATTATTTAAATACTTAATCAAATAATTGTTATTTATACTTAAAATAAATATATAACTATTTCTACGGTTTCTTGTTAGTTTAATCTGTTATTGCTCAAATGAGATTTTATTAACACGAAATTATAACTATTTTAGAATAAACTAATTTAACTACTAATATTAATAAAAGATAATAAATATATAATAAATAATAGATAGGTAATAATTGTATTTAGATATATTATAAATGATCCATTCGAGTATCTAGGATAGTTATTAGAAACATAATAACTAAATATTAAATATTATAGGATAAATGTTTGTGTTAATTATTTTGCATTATTTTTTATTTTGTAATAATTATTATTACCGTTTTAAAGGCCATTCACCTTGTCTCTCGACGAGGGGCCTTAACAACAAAGACAGAAAAGTGAGACTGAATTCCCGTAACGCAGGAATTCAGATATTAGTTTAAGTTAGGCTGACGTGTGAAAATAAATGTAAGGTAACATTAAGAATTAAGTTTAAATTACAATTATAATATTAAATATTATGATATAGTACCTAATATTAAGCAGTTATTATTATTATTATTATTAT